TGGTAAGTTGTTGATTAGGAACCATCGAAATGCTGCAAAGTTTGGCCTCTACTTTCTTTGTTTCTACTAACAAATCCAAAACATACTTCCGTTGAGATAGAAAACGCTTCGTGCTTCTTAATACCTCAATCCCCAAGAAATAACTCAAGGAACTCAAATCTTCAGTGTTGAACTGATTTTGAATAAATGATTTCAATCATAAAATTTTATGCACATCATTTCTAATAATAATAATTTCATCGGCATAAACCACTTATAGAATGATTTTTGAGGTAGATTGCAAATGGAATACAGTATGAACATTTTTAACTTTTTTGCAGCCCAAACTGCTCTACTACTTGGCTAAATTTTTCATACCACGCTCGAGGGCTTAACTTCAATCCATATAAGAACTTCTGAATACAGCATACTTTTTGATACTCCCCCTCTAACATTTCACTATAGAGAAAAACATTCTTCACATCTAACTGATGCACGGGCCAGTTATTCATTGTGGCTAAGGATAGAAGTAGGCGAAATGAAGTTAACTTAGCTACCGGAGAGAATGTGTCCAAGTAATCGATCCCATAAATTTAAGCATGGCCCGAAGCCACCAACTGAGCTTTGAAACGAGCTATAGATCCATTAGAATGAAACTTAACTGTAAAAACACACTTACAACTAACGGCCTTCTTGCCATAAGGCAGTTAAACTAACTCAAGTTCCATTTTTAGTTAAGGCATTCATCTTATCAAGCATCACTTCCCTCAACCCAAAATGGTATAAAGCTTGTTGAACAGACCTTGGAGCCTCAACAATCAAGAGAAGCAACAAACAAGTAGGAAGTGGAAGATAACTAATTATAGTTAACATTGGAGGAAATGGGATAGGCGCGTCAGCGTTTAGCGCTTTAAAGAGCAATGGATAAATCAAGATCACTGGAAGGAGGATCCACTGAGGAAAATGATACCGATGTCGGAGTAGGATCAGGGGAGCGAGGTCTTCTCGGGTAAACATTAGTGATAGGTGGTTTGGGCTGAGGCATTGGAGATGGAGTTGGATTAGGATATGAACTTATGATGTGATACAGTAACAACTCATCAAAAGCTTGTGAGGATTTAGACACTAATAAGCCATCAAAAAATGGGGTTTGTTCATGAAAGGTGACATCAACAGAAACAATGAACCCGTTTAAGAAAGGAAAAACATCGATACACTTTTTACAGACGAGAATATACTAAAAAGACACACACTAATGGCTTAAATTCATGTTTAGACACTTGTGGACGAGTATCACAAATAAAATAAGTACACCCAAATATAATTGATTCAGTAGAAAAGAGTATTAGTTGAAAATAAAACTTGTAAAACTTGGTAGGGTGTCTGGTTTTGTAGAACAGTAGCAGGCATCCGATTGAAAAAAAACATGTAGTGGAGACTGCATCAGCTCAGAACTGCTTAGACGCATTCATTTGAAACAACAGAGCCTTAGTCGTCTCAAGAAGGTGTCTATGTTTAATTTCATTTGTTCCATTTTGGGATGGAGTATTTACACACGATGACTGGTGAAACATCTCGTTTTGTGTCATATATTTCAAAAAAGATGCAAATAAATATTTTTTGGCATTATCACTTCTCAAAATCTTAACAGGAATATTGAATTGAGTTTTAATTTAAGTACAAAAGGATTGAAAGTATGATAATAATTCAAAAAGATATATCATAAAGTAAGCCAAGTCATACAAAAAAAATGATAGATAAAAGTGACAAAGTGATGAAATTTATTAGATAAAACAGGACAAGATCCTCATACATCAGAATGAACCAACTCAAAACTATGATTGACTCTTTTATTAATTTTAAGAACAAAAGACAAACGGTGCTTACAAAGTGACACGACACACAATTTAAAGATAGTAATTGTTGAAACTGATGGTACAATATTTTCAACATTGATAGTGATGGTGATACCGAAACTAGTAGAAGAAATAGTGGAAACACAAAAAATAAACTTTTATTAATACTAAAATAAAGTTACAACATGACTCGAACAGAAACAACCACACACACAAAATGACACAAGCAAACACTCTTAAATATATTCCAAAGGGTAGTGTAGATCAGCGAGGTGGGTCGAGATGCTTGTCGGGGGTGGTGACAGCAACAAAGTGTTGGTGGTAGTGAGGGGAAGATGCGGAACTATAGGGGCAGCAAGTGCGAAGGGTTATAGGTGGTTGACAGCGATAGTGTGATAGTTTGGGAGAAGCTTGTAGTGGCCGACGGCTAAGGGGAGTAAAAGAGACAGGTTGGAGAAGATACAATAATCACCGCGGAGGAGATAGAGTCGAAGCACCACCACCTCGTCAGCTACAGCCCACAAAGTGAAATGAGACTCCACACAAGCGATCTGAAACTAAACACACTCAGAACTTGTTCCCCACACACATCGGGGACTGTCATTTATAGCCTCCTAGTTCTACACAAGAGGACGGAGAGTGAGAAGTAAGAAGAATCCAGAAGAAAAGCATTTTTAGAAGAAGACAAGTGTGGAAGGGGCATAAAGTAGCTCTGGATCATGAAGATTCGCGATCAGTCATATTCCTGTGTGAGGGATCGCCTGGATCATGAAGATTCGCGATCAGTCATATTCCTGCGTCAGATCTTTCTCCCACTGTTTTGTGATCCCACTGCGACTCGTCCTACTTCTCGCAAATTTGCGGGATTCCAACATCGTGTGAAGCTTTGCGGTTTCGCACGGTGTAGCGAGGCTTCAGCCCAGCTGTTTCAAGGCGCCCCTCTTGGAGCACTGTTATGCGTTCAATTTCGGGTGTTGTTCTATTTTCACGTCAGGTGAATGTCCTAATCGACAATCTATCTCAAAATGAGAAGGTGTTGGAGCATATTATGGGTCAAGGTACCTCCTTATCCACAATGTATAGTCCCCTTATTATTGTCCTTTACCAATAATCTTCTTCATCATAATATCTTGAAATAGAGAATGCTCAAGAAAGAATAAGATACAAATATTAAGAGCACATGCGATTTTGTTGACGGGGACAAGATTAAAAGTGAACTAAGGTAAACTAAGAATAAAAAACAGAGGCAATGTGGGTGTAACATTGATGGTGCCTAAACAAAGATCATTAAAGATAGATTTATCTGCTAAAATGACGAAAAAAATGTGCTTTTGAAAAGTCAAAAAGAGTTCTGGATTACTTGTCATGTGAGTTGTAGAATTAAAATCAATGAATCATTGTGTGAAAAAGAAAAAAAAGACAAGTATCACTATTACCTGACTCAACAAGGGCAGTGATAGATGAGGATTTCCTAAATGCTTCCTGAAATTTAATGAACTTAGTAGTGATCATGTAAGTTGACTGTGATTTAAAAACCTTCTTGTTCTTTTACACCTACTTCTAACACGTCCTCTTCGTATGACCAGATTCATGACAGCAAAAGCACACACAATATTTGACTAAGGTTTACTGATGTTTGCATTTTTTTAACTAACGAAGAACTAGGTTATGCGAATTAGGCCTAAGAACTCAAAATCGTAAGCAGTACTCTGGTGAAGGCTTCCCTCAGCTTAGTACATCCAGGATCAGAGAAGATCTATAATTTGACACCTTCATGCTGAGAGTTGAGGCCAACTAGAAAATATGTGATTGTCATTTGTTACCTTAAGTTTGTTGAATCCAGACGTCAGTCTTGAAGGGAAATAAGGCATTCAATTCTTCATAAACATGTTTAAAGTGCATAAGATTAGTATTCAGTGATTAATCATAACATATATAGAGATAATAGAATTATTTGCAAACATAAAAATTCGAGAGATATTTTCTCTCTCATAAAACACAAATGTCAATTACTGCAACACATCTTTAACACGATCACAATGAATCATATGACCAGATTGATTTGGTTAGAAGGAGTTCCTTATCTATATCAAAAGTTGGGCATCAACTCTTATCCACTCAGAATAATTTGGATCGTCTCAGTTGAGGGATTAGCAATGAGGTGACTATCTTGAGAGATACTTCTTAGATAGTCTCACAACTTTACTCTACTAAAAATATTTGATGTCATTTAATTTTTCAAACCAAACCAATCACAAGATATGTTTATTCACCAGCCATAAATGATGTCATTTAGTGATGAAGTACGAACCGAAATAGAGGTCAAACTACTGGGAGATAAATAACTTGAGCACGAACAAGACAGCAATAATTGCCAAGACAAAAAAAAGCAACTGGATAGGCTGAGCAGAAGAAACCAAAGGAGCAGCCTAAACTAACAGCTGACCAAACCAACCTAAGCAGATGACTCAAATTGAAGCAGAAAAATCAGCTAAGAGAATATTAGGGTTTCATCTAGTACCCTCGGATCGATGAAGATGAGGTCTAGGTGATGGCAAAAGACGAAAACGAAGAACGGGATGATGCAAATGAAGTTGAATGCATCTTCGAAGCAGGCATAGACGTTTCATACGAAGCAGGCACAGATGTTGCAGACGAAGCAGGCGAGGACATTGCAGAGGAAGCAAGCACCGACGCGGTTCGACACAGAGAACGCGGACGAAGCCGAAGCAGGCACGGACGTGGTTCGACACAGACAACACATTTAGGATTTTCCAAAACACTGGGATAGTAATAAACTGGTATTTTTTCAGCCAATTCTATTGTGCTGTAGCCACCTGTGTTGCATTGAAAATTTAGGATTTTCCAAAACACTGGGATAGTAATAAACTCTGGTATTTTTTCAGCCAATTCTATTATGCTGTAGCCACCTGTGTTGCATTGAAGATCTAATATGATGCACCTAGCATTCAAAATCATGCAGGAGGTGGGAGAAAGACATCAGATCTACGTGCGAAGATCTTTTAAGTTTTCACATATAGTAGTACTTCCTAACGGCATATTTATATGGAGGTATTAAACACCAACTTCACCTTTTCTATGTTCAGCTTAGCAAAAAATGTGCCAGATCAATTAAAGGTATCAATAAGCGAATAGAGCACTAACACCATTGATGAACTGAGACGAGGATGATTCGGCCACCAGTTTCCTCAGAGAGTCCTGATCAGAGCCCTAATCACATCAACAAAAACGTTCTCTAATGAAAAACCAATTCATAAAGTCATAACATTAACTAAAAGGAAGTTCTAGGGACCTTCAGGGAAGAGAATCCCTTGATTTCCTCTGGCGCGCCGAGCGGGTGGAAGTCATTCGAATAGCAGTTCAAATGATGCCATTTCACCATGTCAAACCCTCTAGGGTCCTTGGTGGATAAGCCTAACCTGAGGGAACCAGCAGCTATCTTCTTGCTGCATATTTTGCAGGTGGATCGGCTGGATTTTCCGTACTCTGCCAATAACTTGGGCGCTGACATCGAAGCGCAGCTACGCAGGAGCGCAATTTTCCGTTGTTAGGATTTCGGAAGATGAAGAGCATGAGATACAGCTAGGCAAAGGAAGAACTCGCCATCGCGTGGAAAACAGGGATGAGGCGAAAAGAGGCGAGCTTCGATGGCGCATTCACCGGTCGTTTTCGCCGGCGGGTTCGTGTGTTTCGGAGGCCGTGTTTGGTTAACATACTATTTATTAGATTTAGGATCAGCACAAAGAAAGTATTTGAGAAGTTGGCAGAGCTGACACTCTCTCACAGTTAAGCACACAGTGCCCTCTTTCTATTATTCTACTGATAATACTGATCTTAAATTGTTATAGTGTATCTTCATGCTTCAGTCTGCTTGGTTATCAGACAATCCTCTCCACTTGATGAGATACTCATTGTATTTTGGCACTCCTCGTCGTCAGATCACTCTTTCTGTCAGTATTTCTTCAACTTCATCAAAGGAGATGATTACGGCAGTAGGCACTCGCCGGGAAATCCCTCTTAAAGGGTCTTCCATATTTTCATGATAGGGCTTCAACATGCTTACATGAAAGGCCGGATATAACTTTAATTTTGGTGAAAGGTTGAGTTTGTATGAGACATTTCTATGATAGGGCTTCAACATGCTTACATGAAAGGCTGGATATAACTTTAATTTTGGTGAAAGGTTGAGTTTGTAAGAGACATTTACCACTTGCTTCATTACCTCGAAAGACCCTTTGTATCTTCAAATAATCTCTTTATGTACCTTTTGACATATTTTAAATTGTTGGGGTAGAAGTTTTACAAAGATTAGATCTCTTATTTTAAACTTGATATGTCTCCGCTTTTTGTCTGTCCATTTCTTTATCCTCCTTGAGTTTTGTTTAATATTACTCGAGCTAGATCCCTTTGATAATTCCAAAACTTGGCAAACTTGAAGGCTGCTAGACTTATTCCTTCAATGTTGGTTGTAAGGGAGAGGGGAGTCATGAGTTGCTATCCCATAATTATCTCAAAAGGACTCTTGTTAGTGGTTTTGCTTGTTTGTAAATTGAAAGTGAATTGCATCACATCAAGCAATCTGTCCCAACTTTTTTATTTTCACTCAAATAGTGAGGCAAATATAGCTCTAGGAGAGCATTGATCCTCTCAGTTTGTCCATCATTTTGAGGATGAAATCTTCTATAAAAGTTTAGATCTGACCACAACATCTTGAATACTTCGGTCCAAAATCTCCTAGTGAAGTAAGGATCTCGATTGTTGATAATGTTTTGTGGTGTTCCCCATAGGTTTACCACGTTGCAGATAAAGAGTCTTGCAGCTTTTTCGGTAGTACAGTTAGTGGGAGCAGCAATGAATGTTGCATACTTGCTAAACCTATCCACCACGACTAGGATGCTTCCAAATCCATCTGACTATGGCAAGCTAGAGATGAAGTCCATAGAGATGCTCTCCCATGGTCTCCGAGGGATAGGTCAACAACCCCCATGGTTGTTAAGGACAACTTTGTCTTGTTGACAAATAAGACAAGTGTGAACATATTCTTCTACCTCATCCTTCATCCCTTGCTAATAATAAGTTGAATTTAGAAGTGTTAGGGTTTGCTTCATACATGGATGTACTGCTCATAATAAGTCATGATATTCTTTGATTAGTTCCTTTTTTAAGGTGCCCTGCCTTATTACATTGATGCATCGACTTTTAGTATAGATGACATCTTCATTTATCCAGGACTTTCTGGTTTTTCCTCCTTTCACAAGAGCAATAATACTTTGGGCTTGTAGATCAGAGGTCAACCCTTCCTTGATTCTGCTTATGAGGGAGTTGGAGACTTGTGAAATGCTTGCAAGTTCTGCTTTTTGGATCAGTGTGTCTACTACTACATTGGTCTTTCATGGTTTATACTCCAAGATGTAATCAAATTTCATCAAGAAATCCTACCATCTTGCTTGCTTGGGACTTATCTTATTATAGGTATGAAAGTGGTTGGTGGCAATATCATCTGTCATGACCCTGAATTTAGAGCCGAGAAGTAGTGTCTCCATACTCTAACATAATGTATGATAGATATCATATCCTTTTTCTGGAATGTGTAGCGGTGCTCTATCTCATTAAGTTTTCGGCTTTCATAGATAATCAGATGTTTGCCTTGCATGAGTACTTCCTCTATAGCAAAATCAAATGCATCAGTGTGCACTTCATATACCTTAATATGATCAAAAAGACTAAGTACGGGCTCTTCACCGATTGCCTTCTTGAGATCTTCATATGCTTCATGACACATGTTATTCTATTCTCATTACTTATTCATCTTGAGTTGGTCTGTAAACATAGCAGCTCTTGCAGAATAGCCCTTTATGAATCGTCGATAGTAGTTTACAAGCCCCAAGAAGAATCTTAGCTCATGTATCTTATTAGGATGCTCCCAATCTTGGATGTCCATGATCTTGCTTTCTTCCATCATAAGCTTTCCATCCTTTATCTTATGCCCAAAGAATATCACTTCTTGTTTGAAAAAGGAGTGTTTTTCTTTCTTAATGTATAACTTATTTCTTCTAGTACTTTGAATACTTCTTGGAGATGTTTAAGATGATATTGGAGTGTGTTGTTATACACCATTATGTCATCCAGGTAGATAACACAAACTAACCCAAGTATGGTTGGAATAGTTTGTTCATCAAGATGCAGAATGTAGTAAGAGCATTGGTTAGCCCGAAAGGCATACCAAAAAATTCAAACGACCCATACCTGGTCACAAAAGTGGTCTTCAGTTCATCCCCTTATATTATCCTCACTTGATAGTAGTTTGATCAGAGGTCCAATTTTGAGAAGTACCTTGTGCTCCCCAGTTGATTAACAAGGTTGGTGATGAGAGGAATTGGGTATTTGTTGTTCACGACAATTTTTTAAAGCCCAGTAGTTTATGGACGTGCACATGGAACCATCTTTCTTTTTTAGAAATAGAACTAAGGCACCATATAAGGCTTTAGATGGTCGAATGAATCTTGCCTCCAATAACTCCTTCAATTTATTGTGTAGCTTTGCCAGCTCTAAAGGTTCCATGCGGTATGATCTCATTGCTAGTGGCATTGTTCCTGGTTCCAGCTCAATCTGGCTCAATCTAATTTCCCGTCTTGATTGTAGTTTTCTAGTAATTTTGATGGTAAAACATCTTTAAACTCCTCAAGTACGGCATCTTACGTCCACCACTTCTCTTGGCATGTTGTGTTAGGGCTTCAATTCTTCATCGGAGTCATGAAGAACAACCAAGTTGCTCGCCTCCTCTCGTTGGATGCCCTTCTTGAATTGAATGGTCGATAGTATTTTGGCTTCTTGCTTCCTAGTCCTTGTTGTCGATACTTTACAAGCTTGGTAAATGGTATTGGGAACAATCTCACTTGACCCAAGAATTCTAGACCAAGGATTGCCTTGAAGTCATCCATAAGAATGGTGGAAAAATTCAATGTACCTGACCAATCTCTGATATAGGTCTTCACTCCTTTGGCAGCTCCATGGATTGACATAGCCGCTTAGTTGACTGCTTCGATGAAGCCCCCTCCACCAGTTATTTGTATACCCACCCTCTTCACTTCTTCAATAAAGATGAAGTTGGGAGAAGCTCATATATCTATCATTGATTTCGTAGGTGTCCCACCTATAATCACCTCCATAAAGAGAAGTCCTTTTTTCAGGATTTTTCGGAGAAGAATGCATCATGTTGAGCAATTGCATTGTTCCCATTTGTGTTAAATTGCTTTCTTCTTACTCTTGATGGCTTGTAAGGAGAGAGTTCAAAGCCTTCTTCTGAGTGCAATCCCTTGCACAATGAGGTCCTCCACAAAGAAAACTGATGTTGTGTGGTTTAGTTTTGTTGTTGTTGTTAGACTTCCTCTCGTCTTTCGTCTTAGATGGAGTTGATTTGTGACGAATCGCTTCCTTATTTTGATCATTCTCTTCCCCACTTTTGACATAGTTACTCTTTTTTTTTCCTTAGATTTGTAGACTCCTTTGTATACTTAACCAAGCTTTACACAACGGTGATGGAATTAGCGAGGCCTTGTGCTCCACACCACCTAAGCTCAATATTCTCTCACTGTTCGAGTCCATCTATGAAGTTTAAAAGAGTATTCTTATCAGAAATGTCAGGAATTTCAAAGACCAGGCTAGTAAACTCCTTAATATATTCCCGAATTGATCTCATTTGCTTGAGCCTTCACAATCAGACTCTAGCATCATCTTCTGCATTCTTAGGTTAGAATTGCCTCTTTAGCTCCCTTTTGAAGTCATCGAAGGTGGATATGGTGCACATACCTTTCTCGATATCTCCTCATCTTCTTCTCCATGACAGCATAGTGATGTCTAAGAGATAAAGTGTTGCAAATTAAATTCTTGTATCTTCAACTGTAATCCCCCATCCCTCCAAAGTATTGCTCAAGTCCTCATAATAAATTGGCCACTTCCTTTGCATTGCAAGCTCCTTCAAAACGCTTTGGTTTTATAACTTCAATGCACTTGGCTTTGAAGGTATGATGCTTGGTGAATGTCTATAGTGCCCTCTTGCATAGCTAAATGTCCCCACTCATCTCCTCCAAGCTAGCACGTACGCCACTTCTCATCTTTGTGGGCTCTTCTTACCTCCTGAAGCTCCATCATCAAGTCCTCCCTCATATTTGTCATTTGGTCCCTTAAAGACTCCTCCAATTGGAGTATCTTGTCTCTGATCTTTGAATGGATTGTGGTGTCCTCCTCCTCAAGTCCATCAACATTTTTTTCCAATGTCCTCTATTTGAGCATCCATGTCATTCATTGTCTCCTCCACCTGAACAAAGCTCAAATCAAAGTCGTGCATGATCTCCTTGGACCTCATGTTGTTTGAATGCACCTAGTTTTCATTGCTCTTGATGACATCTCCCTTGTTGAGATGATTCCACAATAGTGGCTTCAAACTCCATATGTGCTCTTTGACGTTTTTTGTCATAGTTTTGAATCGAGGCATTAATATCAAATATCACGG